CCAGATCATATATACTAGTAAGCTTATCTAAATAGTTTTTAGCGATATGATTTGGAGAAAGACTGTTATTAAATTGTCCGTGACTAGCAACAATATTAACGCCGTTATAGGGCAGTTCGCGAAACATAGCTTTGTTTACTTTTTCGTCTAGTTTTCCCCCATTGTCATCACACAATATATTTTTAGTGTATAATTCTACTTATCTTCATGTACAGATCATTTTGCATCTTCAACCGTTGTCAGCTTAGCAAGGTCCTCAAGTGTCTTCATTCTTATTACACTCAAGTCATCAGATTTTCGAAGACAAATGTAGTTGTTCTTAGCCCAGCAGTACTTGAATCCGTAACGATTTTGCACTTTTTTAGCCTCAAAGAGAAGTGTCTGAAGGCGAGGTGTTAAATGTTCGTAGATGTTCATTCGGCCATGCTGTTCCTGTGCTTGGAATCCGAGTTGTTCGGGCTTTAGTTCGTATATTTTACGTCTTGCCGCCATGACTTTGTCTTTAGCAAGCCTTCGGACGAATTTGCAGATTATTGGGTCGGGACTAGCAGGTGAATTTCGATTCCGCTTCGGGACACGATGGGCAGTGTCTATATCTTGTAGAGAGACATCATTTACACCCAATGCTGAAAAAAGCTTTACACAAAGCGCTGCAGTCACATCAGACGATTCTTTGTCGTTAACTGGCGGCAGTCCAACTATCTTTATATTATACTGATAGCTGTACGTCTCGATTGCTTCGATGGCTTCATATATTTCGTCGCAGCTTCTACTAACTTTATCAAGTCTTGAAGCGATTTTCTTAATATCTTGAAGGCCTAGTCTGGGGCGGTAAATCGCCTTAAATCGCTGCGATATGATGCGATTTTGGGCGATTTTAGGCGATTTAAGGAAAAACTGGGACTTTCAAGCACTGCGATTTAATGCGATTTTAGGCGATTTAAGAAAAAGTTTTAAATTTTAGGGATTGCAATTTAGGTGTTTTCAAAGGAATTGAATTTAATATTTTGCTCCGGTTTCAGGCAAAATTGGCAGGGTGGGTAAGGATATAAACACAGTTAGGAAAGTAATATCATATTCTCATTGTTGTAAAGATAAATAGTCTAGGCTAACATAAGTAATCATAGTACTTGATGTAATCGGTCACTGAAAAGTCCCAATGTGGGGAGTGAGCTAAATAATAATGTAATGTTTCCACACACATATGCATTGTATGAAGCAAAATACAATTATTAGAACATGTATGTACATTTTATATAAAGCTAGGTTAACTAATTATTGTATTTAACCTGATTCACGTATAAAGCTCAATTTTCATGAACTTTTCATCCATTCTCTATTTAAAAGCCGTTGGGGTTCATCTTGTGGGGTCATGTGGTCATTCATGGCTACATTATATACCACAAATATTGTAAACAGTTAATATACTCTACTTAAGGGGCATGCACTACACATGTCTTAAACTTTAATATCATTAATTTATGTCGAGTTAAAATTGCAAAATATAATAAATATTTGATTTCCAAAAAAACCACAAGAGAAACACACAATGTATTTATACAGTATAACTGAACAAGCTATAATCCTATAAATTACCTTGTCACCCTTGTAAGTGAAATTGTCTTGTTTTGTATCATGTCAAAACTTCTTTATTTAGCTTGCATTTTATTTAAACTGTTTCAATCTCGTGCTTTCTTCATGCTACAAACATGTTTTATTAAATTTTTGATATCTATATCATATCCCAGTATCCAGAAACAGTATCGTCACGCATTCGGAAACTGTCGGCGTAATGCCGTAATGTTTAAATTACATGAAGTATATTGTATATAAATGGTAGGAATTCTAATTTCTAAATTATTTTAAAATTAAAAACAAAATAATACAGTATTAAACAAATGGCGCACTACATCGTGGTTTTAGGTTCTGCAAACAAACAACAACAAAAGATCTATTGTATGGTATGTACGATGTAATCATTGTTTTACTGTTTATTATATATACAGGTCTGGAAAATTTAATAGATGAGAGTTGCAAATCGCTCATAACCTCACGTATATTTTTCGTTTGATAGCCACTATAATTATAACTAGGAGCTAGAGTATGACCATGCACATGTCGAAGTACAACCATTGTATACAATGCAGTGCTCGATGTTACATGCAACAGTGCACAAATTACAGGATGACTTTATTATATAAATCAACACTCGTACTAATTGACTTTCCTAGTCTCCTACTGTTGTTCTAATTAACAGCAATTAGGTTTTGAGAAGCCATGTAGATTATAGATTAATTAATTGTAGCCCAGCCTCCATAGTCCATATACATTGTAGCCCAGCCTCCATTTACACCAATAATGAAATTAACTCATTCTGGTAACTAGCTCAATTTTGTTGCTGGTAGTGTATGGGATCTACGGGTCTTTCAGATCCCAGAATTACCTAATTATTGTAAAGTCTGCATAAAGCAGAAAAAGGCTCTGTTTTTGTCAATGACCGGTGCATATTGAGTCACCAAATATTGTCAGCCTAATCCATTTATTTGATTGCTAATTCATGTTGCATTGCTTTTGATTGCGAAGCACCTGGATTACATGATTTGCCCATAAAATAGCAGCAATTGATAAACTTGAGTACATGGACTGAATGTATCAAACAGAATGCATGTTGGCGATTTTAAGCGATTTTAGGCGATTTAAGAGAAATTCGACAATTTTAACCCGCGATTTAATGCGATTTTAGGCGATTTAAGGCGATTTACCGCCCCAGAGTAGGCCTTCTTGAGTAGCTTGTTTTCGAAATGCATCCAGATCGTCACTCTTGTTTGCCGATAAACTCTACTGCTTTATTGTGATCGTTTGACATGACCTGCGGCTGATCTTCAATGGCCGGTTTCTTTTCTTGTTGGTCTGTGAGGTAATTTTTTGGCTGACTTCGTTCAGTTGAGACTTTAATTCCTCAATTTCAGAGCGCAGTGCCTTGTTTGATTCCTTTAAACCTTTTACTGTATCAGGCATTATACTTATTTGACTTTAATGTGGAAATTTAATTAAGAACACATTACAGGACCAATCAGCACATCTTTTTAACCAATTACCAGACGAAATTAGGAACTGCAGAGACTACAGAGTATTCTACAATGAGACCACGAATTTCTTAGTCTTAAAAGCATGGTCAAGACTTGGATAATATTAGAAAGAAATATTGAAACTAGAAGTTACTATCGCAAGAAAAGTGCTGCCTCACCCCCAAGGGATCAAAGGCAGCATGCGCAATTTGCTGAATAAGGGGCTGTTTTTATGATCCCGCTTTGCCAGGATGAGATACGAGGCGGGATGGTTTCAGTGGCGCCGTGGGACCCATGTTTTTTTGGGTTTTTTTTTGGGGGGGGGGGCAAGGGCAGTACTTTTCCGACAAACCGAAAAAATTTTCCGCACATAAACATTAAAACTCTCCTCCCCCCCGGCCAAAACTTTTTCGGTGAAAAAATGTTTCCGGACAATGGCATTACAATTGCTTTCGAAGCATTTTCCCCAATTTTAGTGGCACTTTTTTGGATACTTCGGCACTAAGATTCCGACAACATTGACAATTTTCCGACGGGTCTCAACAATAGGGGGGAGGGGGCCTGCCCCCACCCCCCAGCGCCACTGGATGATTTAGATGTATTTAAATAAGTCACGGTGTACACTTCAGCAAAAAACTTCATTATTTCCGAGAGATAGCAACAGTTTTACCTGTAAATTGAAAGGTTGTTCAAGCAGCAATAATAATCTTCTTGAACTACAAGATCTGCTCTACAACATTTGAGTTTTGTTAACCAGCATTTGGACTTTCGTTTAGCCTATGGACATATTTCAATACATCAAAATCATCCCACATTCCATCATGTGAACAGCCCCTAAGATGCCTGTTCAGGAAAAGTGCAATTTGAATACCAAACACCTTGCACAAAGTCAAAGGTCAGCTAAATATTCTAATTTTACTTTCTTGGCATGCCATGGGCGATTTTGTATGAATTCCTTCAATGCTTATAACATCTTGCTTTTGTATGTATAATTATAATTACTGTCAACACTGGTGAAGCTAGCCGTAGTAACAGCTAGGTCATGCTATGGTATTTAATGATTTGCATCGTAGCCAGCCCGACGATTTAGTACCGCTATGCAAATATTTTCGTGTTCAATGACTGTAAAAACAATCAATTTCTAAAGAAATGAATAATGATAATATTTTGAATTTGCATAGCGGGACTAAATTGTCGGGATGGCTATGCCACTGGTTGTTGCCATAGCGAACAATTCTGTAATTGTTGAAATTGTTTGAGATTATTAAGATTTGAATGCCACAGGTTGCTTTATGTGTTTCCACTAAACAACCGTAGTCATTGTTAATGTGCACCGTTTCGTCAATTAATCATATCCATTAGCTGCTATATTCATTAGTCTTCTGAACATGTTCAATGCTTCTTCCCAGTCTTCGGGGTGAGACAAAGAGAGATTATTTCTGACGTATTCAAAGTATTCTTGGTGATCATTTGCTAATTCATCTTCAATTATGTTCTCTGAAGCAAATCCAATTTCGGCTGCAGCTAATTGAAATAAATATTCTCTCGATCCATGAAGCTGTGGCAAAAAATAAAGAGAATCTGGTCGTCCTGGAATGGTATCTTGTCTTGATTTCCGAATTCTATGGGAATTCCAGTGCTCTTTCACTAAGTCTAGCTCAGTCTGTAATAACTTGTGAAAACAATACCATAAACACTCCATATTTATTTCGCAAGCTGTGTCCACAATCCCCTGTGATTCCAAGTCTTTGAAAAAATTCCTCCACCACTGGCTGTGACTCCTGGCATAGTACGCCCACCATCCTTCGATTCGTTGATTTCTCGGAGAGGGTACGTATCGATGAGCCTCGGAGTTATCACGGAAATATGACTGCAAAGCGGCTGCAGTTCCATTTTCAGTTCCCAAATCGGTCACTAATTGTACTGGACAACCACCTTGTTCTAAAACAACTCCAGCATAGGAAGAAGCTATTTGATTTGGCGAGTTGTTGGAACGAGTAACACGAAGCCACAAAATTCTTCGACTGTAGCCGTCAATCGCTCCGTGTATTGGAAAACCCCAACATTTAAGTTTATCATAACCATCCATATGCCATGAATAATTGGGGCCAGGATTGTGGTAGGCTCGTCTTTTTAGACGATGTCTTTTCCGAAGTTCCGCACCTTCAGGATCCATTTCCTTTAACAAATCTTGAACAATGAGGGACACGAATCCCCTCTAGGGACACGAATCCCCTCTAGTTCAAGTGCATGCCATATTGCACGGTACGCCATGGATGAGCCAGGCCCGTTAATAAGTTCCGCTATGCGCCTCTGCACTTGCAGAAATGTGTTTTCAAATGAATCCTTGTTTGTTACACCTCTTCTCATTAAACCATATTTCTTCAACCGCCGAAGAAGAGTGCTATAACTTATAGTACAATGATGCCGTTTAGCCAGAAACAAAAGAATTTCTTCGTAGGTAAATCCGCGAAAGAAATAATATTTCAGAACTTCTTCCTCGCTGTCTTCAAATGTATCATCAGTAAAATCAGAATTGTCATCTGAACTCTCCATGTTAGCTTCTAAAAACAAAACATCCGTATGCTTAGTCAATAATTACATTATAACTCTAGTTTATCCCTATTTAACACTACACGCTGTTAAAATAATCAAATTTTTGGTTGTTTTAACCAATAAAATATTGATCAAATAAGTGCATCTGAAACAACCAATTAATTTATTTTTTACAGTGTAATAACAATAACTATTATATTTCAATTTTGTTGTTCCATATTTTATACCCAAAATTAGGAAATTAAATGACGTCCAGATAGTGTTATTTTCACAATTTAATTGTTGTCTGATATGTTTTATGCTAACTTTAAAACATTTTTTAGTGGAAACTTGAAAATCCAGTAAGTCAACCAGGATACCATTAATCATAATCGAATATCCTGCTGGCACAGAAATATCAAACAAGCAGGGCAGTACACAGCGGGGATTGAGGGGGGCGGCAAGAAGGGCAGTTGCCCCCCCTAGAGAAAACTATATTTACGATTTTTAGAATGACATTATTACTTATTCTTTAGATATTTAGGACTTTTTTGGCATATGGGCCTTACGTACTGCCCCCTAGTGAAAAAATCCTGCGTACGGCCCTGCAGACAAACACTGACAAAGTTGTTAATATTCTCCTATATCAGTGTAAATGAATATTGATTTATAATTATACTGTTTACCTTGTCCACAGCCAGTACAGTAGTTTGTGTTGTCGTCTAAATCAATCCCACAATTGGTGCAAAACATAGTACTCTCTACTATATTATATACAGAAAAGGATGTTCATGTATTTGAAAACTAATTAATGTCAGGAAACCTTGTAAAAACGTATGTCTTAATGCGTAAAGCATACAGTATGTGACCATGCAGTTATTGCCATGAGATACTGTACGAGTTCCCTTCACGTTGCTCATTTTGTGTTAATTTTAATTTGATGTAAGTGAATTTTAATTTGATGTAAGCGGATTTTAATTTGATGTGAGCAATTTTAATTTGATGTGAGCAATTTTTATTTGATGTGAGCAATTTTAATTTGATGTGAGTGAATTTTAATTTGATGTGAGTGGATTTTAATTTGATGTGAGCAATTTAATTTGATGTGAGCAATTTTTATTTGATGTGAGCAATTTTAATTTGATGTGAGCAATTTTAATTTGATGTGAGAAATTTTAATTTGATGTGAGCAATTTTAATTTGGTTGAAGCCAAATATATAGTGTGACAGTTGTGGGCCACCGTACTTTCTAGCTGTGGTGATTTATTTGCATCTCCTTGCCTTGTTTTAAAATTAGTCAAAAATGGGAATTGTCTATTTGGGCACATACGAAGAGGCCCTTAAAAACCCTGAAATTGAATTACTTAATGGCCCTTAATACTGACAAAATTTGTTTTCTCAATGTGCATTAACTTTGCGGTATTGGTTGGATCTGTCTCAAGGGTTATGTCCACGATTGTGGCTCCCAACTCAAATGTCAAAATAATTATGCTCTTTAAAAACTTAGCATGAAGAATTCTGGAGTTACAGGTCAACTAGCCTGCTCGCAGACGTTGTATTTCTTACGTAAGTAATACAACTACATCTGCGAGCAGGTCAACTCCAAAACCACTGAGTGGAGTGTTATCACGTAAACCTGTATCAAATCCAAAATAATTAAAGAATAAAATGGCTAATGTTGAATAATATACAAATAATGGATGTTCATGAGTGCAAAAGTAAAAATAATATCATGAGGTGAAAGATGGGATTAATTATTTTTATTATATAAACATAAGTGTTATATAGAGTTCAGTTGGCCACTGAGAAAAATCGTATTTAAACACACGTAAAAAATACGATATTTTTACGTGTGAAAATATCATTTGTTGTAAAACGCATTGCCAAGGACGTTTTATGGTTTTTCACTGAATTTTGTTTATATAATAAACAGAAAAATACATGGGAACTTGGAAATACCAGATTTATTTCTCGTGTTGAACATGATATCTCACTCGTTCGCTGCGCCCACTCGTGAGATATCATCTTCAACACTCGAAATAAATCTGGTATTTCCGCGCTCCCATGTATTATTCTCTAGTACTGTGCATGCTTCAAGGTAGACTTGCTCCAAGTCTCTCTTTGTGGACATATATATATCGTACATCTATATTGTACGTTACATGACGTACCGCTGAGGGGGAGAGGAGGAAAGAGAGACTTGTAACATCTGGCAGTTCCGGTGGCAGACAATGCAACATCCGGTACCGGAAGTTTACGCCAGGGTTAAAATTTTTCGTTTATTGGCTATACGCTATCAGGGGTGGGATACAGCAAGTCAGCAACCAAAGCTTGGTATACTAAAAAGCAGCCAAGATGGCAGAAGAAACTATTGATGTGCCATCTCGTACGCGTTAGATGTTCCAACCTCGTTCCCAGGCTCTTTCCTCTTGTGAAGCAAAGACCCTGGCTGGGGCTGGTCACGTGGCACGCGGAAATTTGATCGGCCAAGAGGGAGTACGCAAAGTATCAAATTATATGCTTCCACTTCCGCACTTTACACTTCGATTGCAAGGAGTGAGAGTGTTCTGTACAATCAACTTTGAGAATCATATGAAATTTAAATATTGCTAAATTTGGTTCCTGTTTGCGTTTAAATTATAAAAAACATGCTAAACATATTTTTATAGCAACAGACAAGTCAGGAAGTCAAGCAATAAAAACGTATGATCGTATGCTTTGGAATTGTTCTAATGTTCTCTCGAGGCCTCTGGCGCACTTTCATTTCACACGTTTCTGTTTTGCCTCTGTTTGAGACTTGAGGGTTCACTTCACATATTTATAATATTCTGATAATATGCCGTTAGCGTTATTTGGAAACGGTATATTTATCTTTGAATTGATTTACTTGTTAATTTCAACACAATACTGTGGTAGGTCGTAGCTCCTTTTGAGGTCTTCTCGCGCACACGCTTTATATAAATACAAGCCAAATGGACATTGAATCTCTATTGATTGATTATTGATTCAAAAATTGTTTATAGACATCGCATATTTTTTTTAATAGGTTAAATTACTGTATAATTCATCTTTTGTATTAAACACTAGGTAGTAAGGAATATGTATAAGGTACAAAAATTGTTAGGGAGTCTACAGTATATAGAATTTAGATTACTAATATGCTTTTCCTATTTTGTCTACACGCGAGTATAATAATGGCAAAATAGTGCACAGTATGTCCTATAATATATAATTCAATAGTCATTTACCTTCGTCTTTTATACCTTGTCCATTGGCATTGAATGCAAAAGAATAACAGCAGATATAATAGAAAAATACTTTCTCCTATATAAAACCTTATAACGGTATAAAGTGTCTCTACACTTTGTCAGGGTCATATTATACATAATTCATAAGTCCCACATAGACACAGCATTACTCGATAAGTTTTTATAAGCATTTTAAAGTTTCTATTGATACATCGGCTGTTTGTCTCTAGCATAGTTGGATGAAAACTTCCAAAATATTATGAAGATTGAAGTTGATATAAATATTGATTAACACAGCAGCATGATTCAGGTCGAAAAAAGCAGGATTATTCTGCTATAAAAGGCCAATTGCAATGCTAATAAAGGTCTTTATAAGATTTATAATGTGCCTGCTGAGATTGCTGCACGTAAAACATGATATATTAAATATACTATAAAATAAAATAAAATAAAATACTTGTGTCTGATGTTTAAAGGCACAGTTCAGCCTTTTGAACGATGGTTTTTAAGGGGCATTTGAGCCCTTTTAATTGAAAAAACTAACTAGGAAAATCAATTAAGCATAACTCAAAATCAGTAAACTCGATGTTTTTAATTAACAATATAAATGTTTTAAAATGTTAAAAACATTAAGTTTACTGATCTTGAATTATGCTTAATTGATTTTCCTAGTTAGTTTTTCAATTAAAAGGGCTGAAATACGCACAGGACGAAATCCATACCTTTTTTGACCTTTACAGATTGGGTAAATCTGCTAAACGTATCTTTAAACGTATACAACTGTGTTTAAAGGCATTAAAGGTGTGTTCGAACTTTATCGACATTTAATACTTGTTTAAATACATCTTTAATCATGATATGCCTTTAGTTACCTTTACAAAAACAATTAAAGCTTGATAAAGCCACATAAAACTTTACTCAAGTTTATATGTGATCTTTAAAGTTGATTAAAGAAATCCATACCTTTTTTGACCTTTACACATTAGGTTAAATCTGTTAAAGGTATGTTTAAACGTATAAAATTGTGTTTAAAGGCATTAAAGGTATGTTCGCACTTTATCGACATTTAATACTTGTTTAAATACATCTTTAATCGTGATATGCCTTTAGTTGCCTCTATAAAACAATTAAATCTTGATACAGCCACATTATAATGTCCTTTACTCAATTAAGTTTCGAGTAAAATGTGTTAAAAGGTAAAATGTCGGCCATAAACGTCATTGTTACCATATATAACAACGGTAACGACATCATTTTTGTAAACAGTTTTCAACTCTTGGACGATTGCTCAATATATGTGGTACAATTTTTGTCTTCTGAAAAGAAACATCTCTTCAAAAAATTAAAAATTAAATCTAAATCACGATTTTGTCATATTTCAAAAATTGTAGGGAGCCACCTTAATCAGGATTGTAAACCTGTGACGCGGTGTTTTGTTTCATTGCTTATTTTGACAATGTTTCAGAGAACGGAACTGAACCAAAATGTTAAACTCAGACTACGTTTACACCATACCAGATGAATATGGAACCACATTGTTCACAAACTAGACCTGAATTCAACTTGCACAGTTAGCTATGCTTCATTTCGTACGATGAAGTACATGTACTGTACATGGACTTTTGATGAGGATTATTTATTCTGCTCAATTTGAATAGAAGATGTTTAATTAATAGCAGGGGTCGAAGTAGAAACCACTGGGACAGACTGCAGAATGAACAACTTGCTTGCAGGGAAATTTTGTACAATTTTATTAAAAATGGAGGTTATAAATATATGTA